TTAAGGACCTAAATGTTAGGATCCCCATCATAATCCCTATAGAACCCCAAAGAATCCCTACACATTCCCTAGTTTCCATTTCATTTTCCATTTTCTTTTCCATTTGATTCTCCATTATTGGGGTTACAATTCCTATTAAGGGGAGGGGCGGTTATTGCCCTAAACCCTAAACCCTAAACCGCATTAGGCTTCAAGCCGCCTTGCGTAGCTCGCCAAGCGGGCCTGTGACCGCCTCCAGTAGCTGCCTCGCATCTGCTTCGTCCTCGCTCAAACTCTGGGTTCAGGTCATGTGTTGGGATATTTGAGGATATGTAGGCTATAGAGAGATATAGATTGAGGTTTTACGGCTTCGGTTTTGGGCTCATCTTTTTAGGGCGTGGGACTCTTGTCGAATCCGTTTTGGAATCTTGGTCCCATCAGGGTTCCTGTAGAAGAGCCTCTGTTGGGATTCTTCCTGCTGTATTTTATGGCCGCTGATGCGGAAGACATCCTAGGAGCGCCGCAATCTTTACAACTGTCCATGTGGCAGGTTGATGTTTCAGGGATTATTCACGGTGTGGCTCGGGATGTTCGGCTGTTGCGCCTGGGGTTTTGGGTTCTGGTTGTCGTGGGATGCCTCTTGAGCCGTCCCGCAAATACTCGAAACCCCCCTTCAGCTAAACCAGAAGTACCCACTGTCAGAGCACTTGACACCTGCAAAGTTCCTCTGCACGTTGAACTTCTACAACCCCAGTTTCAGGAATTACTTGAATTTTTCTCCACATAAATTCCCTCCAAGTGCGTCAGGGCATCCACATTGCCGATGATCAGAGCTTCAACCAAACACGAGCCAGGCCCAAAGAATTTCATCGGAAGGTCGCAGGCGCTTTCTGGATGTAGCTGCTGTGTTGCCTCGCGGGAACCAACGACTTACTAGTGTTTAAGCACGGTGAGAAGGTGACTCTAGGCCCACAAGCAGGAACAAGATGATGACAACCGTGCCGTAATCCTGGGTAGAGGAACTTGCAGTAATCCTAGAAGCCCATGATCTGGCTATGTTTCCTAACAAGCAACCCCGTCGCCTTGCCATGCAATAAGGACTTCCACGCTGAGGCACGTTTTACAGCCACTTTCGACTGATAACCTTGTATAACCTCCTCAAACCCCGACATAACCCCGAAAATATCCATACACAACCTAAGATACCTTCTCCGTGGAAGTTCAAAATACGAGTATCATGCAAGCTGCATTCATCAAGAATAACCCAGGAAAGCTCTGCAACAGCCCTGCACAATCACTGGTAAACTCTGGTAAACTCCCGCATGAAGGGTTTCCTGCGGAGGTCGCGCTAGATATCACAAGATACTACAATCCTGAAATTTAAGGCAGCTGTACCTTCACCATTTCGGTGGCAGATGGCCGTTGCAGCAGCAGATCTTCCAGGGTTGCCAAGGCCTCCAGAACCAGGCTTTTCAGCTACGGGCTTAGGGGTTTAGGATCTGTAGGGCTTACTTTAAAATGGATTTAAAAGTTTTGGGGCCAGAGATTCAGGGGTTTAGATCTAGGGAAAAACCGGCAAGCGCGGATGACTGGGAGCAATGAAACGCCTGGCTCAGGGCTTTCATCAGACTCCAACAGCACTCAGTGATTGAGACATATGCGAAAAATCCAAACAATGAGGACCACCTCCTGTATGTCCAAATGTCTAGAAGATGACTTCAGCCTGCTACAGGGAAACCTTTTGCACGATTCTTTCACCCATCTACAACTGACAGCCTACATATGCTTTCCAAAAATGGGCCCATCCACCTTACATACCCCCAAATATGACAATCCTTGTTCCAGGAACCCTTCGGACCCTAAACCATAAACCCCTAAACCTTGGGTACTGCCCCCCCTCCCCCCGTAAAAGTCTATATTAAGGGTCCTATTAACGGTTATATATAACCATAGTATATTTATTATCCAACTGTTACTGAGGGGGGGCAGTACCCAACCTAAACCCATAAACTCTCCTAAAGCCCCTGAGCATGCAACCAGCCCGGCCTGATTGTACGCCTGACCGCTGGCCGCGTTCTTGAAAACACGCTCCTGTTGTGATTAAGATTATAGTGGGATAATGGAAAAGAAAATGGAAACTACTATTTACTGTTTAGGGTTTAGGGTTATAATCCCCCTTGAGCAGATAGAATATGGTGTATATTTTGGGGGTTATATAGGGGCAATGAAAAAATGGAAACTACTAGATTATAGAAGTATGAGGCCCAATTACAGGCACCCGACCTGGGAGCTCAAGCACAACTTTACACCTAGTAAATTACCTATACCCATTCCGTGCACGTACCCTTGAAGACCTTATGATACCATACTTCTACCAGGCGATTCAGCCTCAGAATAATCTCCGTACGAAACAACAACACCTGTAAGGGTACATGCATTATTCCGCACCCACTCTTTAGGACCGGGTACGCGTAAGCTCTGAAAAGTTATTGCTACCGCTGCTTTTGCACCTGTGATCATGGATGGGGGTAAGTGCCAAAAATGCCTGTACAACGTCTCTTCGGCTATGGGGTTAGGGTGTAGGGTTTTTCGCACTTGTTCACTCTCAGAAGCTACCCTTGCATCATTACCTTCATGTACGCTGTCACGCTTATCGCTACCATAGCTACCTTCTCTTACTACTCCTGTAGAAAAGCTAGACACAGCTGACAGCAAGAGCCGGTCTCGTGGCCCTGTTGTAGAAATGTGGGCACGGGGGCTTCCCAAAATTAGGGGGTACCTTTTTGGGGGTCCCCATAATAAGGATGATAATAATTTGGGGTCTATATTGGGGTTCCTTTATTCAGGGAAACCCCAAATATCCATATCTCTAGTCCAAGCGATACCACGCTATGTCCTCAGAAAGCTTGCGGTCAAGGTGTTTGCAACTGACTTCGATTCTTGATCCTCAAACGTATTGGAATTTTCTCTGGTGCTGTTTAAGTCTTCAGGCTCCATGCTGGCATGATTACGACTTCTACCATTGATTTTGAAGATTGCTTGTGTTTCTTTGTGCTACTTTAAATGCTACGACAGGGATAATCGAAATTACTGCTTGTTTGCCATCTTTTATTCTAGCTCATGGCAGACAGCTTCTTTGAAGGAGCCAGCTCCTGCTGCGCCTTCGCCTGCAGGAAAACCTCCCCAGAGATTCTGTTCATGCTGCAGAGCATGCTGGATACCTGGGCGGCTTTAGGTGGATCATGATAAGAATATATTGCTGGTTTCGTATGGATAAAGAAAGCTCTGCAAAAATACAATAACTTCCAAGAATGGCCTAGGAACAGCTCTGGCCAAGAGCACCATCTTGTCCCGGAAGCCAAGGAACTGGAGCAAAAAGCAGTGGTCTGCCTGGCTCCATAGTAAGAAGACGTGATTGATGATGACATCCGCTATGTAGAGTGATCTTTACCTGTAATAATACCGCTAAGACGATAAGCACTACAATATGAGGATGCTGAGGATGCTGATGATGATGGTGATGATGGCGATAATGGCGATGATGGCGATGCTGGCGATGATTTATGATGCTGATGATGGTGATTACGGTGATGATGGTGATGGTGGTGATGATGGTGATGATGGCGATGATGCTGATGATGATGATGATCATCATCATGTTGATGGTGGTGATGATGGTGATGATGGTGACAATGGTGACAATGGTGACAATGGTGACAATGGTGACAACACCGGCGACGACGACAGCGATCTCAATCACCAGGAAAACCACAAACAACCACTTTATGCTGCTGGCCCAGCTGCCATGTCCAGCTTGTACATAGCACCCGCCATTCGGGCTTCAAAAGTTTCTGCTCTGAGAGCTTGCTCCACGCATTTGCAGAGGACGTGCCTTGTCCAGAAGCGATACGAAACTGAACAAACTGACAACAGCATCCATCAACAATCGCAAGAAGAGGCATGAAGATTACTACACGTAATCAAAGATACCACGTTTCAGTTGTACTTGTACTGGCACCGCTACTGCTACGGCTACTGCTACTGCTACTGCTATGATGAAGACTATGCACAGTATACTCCCACACCAAAGTAGTCGTCTAGTAGCCCAAATCAGATTTTGACATTGGTACTACATACTCGGGCACCTGTTGCAACTTGGGAGCCTCCCCGCATAACGCTTGGCTAGCTGACCCCAAAATAATTGCAGAAAAATCCCAAATTCCCTTGGCAATTTTGACCTGGGTGCGCCAAGGCCACATCCTTTGCCGAGGACAACTCGAAGGAGCGCAAGCAGAAAGAGGCAGCCACCTTCAGAAACAGGTATTTAAAAAGACAGACTTTCTGGGAGTTAGCAGGGAATGAGGGAATATGTCATTTGAGGATTATATAGCTTATTATTAACCCCCAGTGTTTAGCTTCTCTCAGAGTGTTGCCCTTCTGAAGTTTGGCCTAAAACCACGCCAAAAAAAAATACGTTATAAAACAACCCCTATATAACTCCTATTTGCATATAACCCCATATATTCATCCCTAGGTCCCTAAACCGTGACCCCGGACTCCTTCATTCTAAGCCCCAGACCCCAAACCCTAAGCCCCTCAACCCCCAAAATCTAACCCCTAAACCCTAAATGCCTAAACCCTAAACCCCAATCGCCTAAGACCCAAACCCTAAATGCCTAAACCCAAAGCCCTAAATGAGCTGTAGTCTAAAGTCCTAGTATACCCCTTATTAACCCCTATAGTAGCCCCCTATATAATCCCCTATATAACCCCCTTTAAGGAGTTTAGCCGACCTTGGGCTGTTGCATAGCAGATGTAGGGCGGAGCCAGACCCTGCACCAAGCTTCAGGCACTTTCATCTCCTTACTGTTTTTGTTTAGGGTTTAGCGTTTAGTTTTTCAGTTTAGGGTTTAGGGTAGAGTTATAATATGGTTGATTTGAGGCTATACAAGGTTTTCGAGTGGTGTGTATGAGGTTATACGGGGTCAGATAGGGCTTTCTGGCGTATGTGGATTTAATGGTTGAATCAAACACAAAGTGAAACAGGAACTGCGATTATCTTAGGGTTTAGGGCTTACTGGATAATTAGGGAGAAGGGTTGAGAATAGAGGAACGGTCGCTATAAACATCCCATATCCTATATAACCTTACAAGTAATTTACAAGTTCCTTTCCATTACTTTGTTCCATGCTAACAAGTAGTAAGATAGCCCGAAACCCTATATACCCCTATAAACCCCAGCTTCCATTTCATTGTCCATTTTCTCTTCCATTGGCTTTCCAATCGCCAAAGCCTGACCCCAAACCCTAAACCCTAAACCCCAAACTCTAAACCCTAAACCCCAGCCTCTAAACCCTAAACCCCAAACCCTGGAGTAACTCCATTTGAGCCATTGTCCAAACTCCTAGTATCCCCCTTAATAACCCCTAAAGTAGTCCCCTATATAATCCCCTATATAACCCCCTTTAAGAAGTTTAGACCATAGCTCATAAAACCCTAATCCCTATTAACTACCCTATAATCCCAGTCTCCATTTCATTTTCCATTTTCTTTTCCATTTGATTCTCCATTGTATTAGGGGTAAACCCTTTAATATTCCATTCCATTAGCAAGGCTCGTGTGGAGCGCTCTGCGCTGGCGTAGCTCTCAGGGTGAAGTCCTAGGCCCAGAACCGCGCTCCGCACTAAAATGGATTACAGTGGATATGTAGTAGTTTCCCGAAATAAGGGAACCCCATACCCCAAATACTATAGTCCTTACTATAGGGACCCCCAAAAAAGGTACTATTTTCAAATGAGACCAAAATTCTGTGGGTAGGAAACTGTTGCGGTGCGGAAGCCCCAAGCCCTCTTGCTGTACCAGCGCACTCCACGAACTTAGCTCGATCTCCTTCCAGCTCTCCTTCCACGACCTTTACGGAAGAAAAGGGAAGATTTGGTAGTTTCCCAAAATAAGGGGCCCCCAACATAAACCTACCCCCATGCAGGTACCCCTCATTTTGGAAAACCCTCATTTCAGGGACTATCAAAGCATTGTCTTGCCAAAGGTGGAGATTACCTAGGAATTCGGGGCATGACCTTCAGGTCCTTATTGTAGTGCTGATTGGGTCTGCAAATGGGACTGGTCATCTGAATAATGGGTCTTTCAATCAATCTGCACCTTTTGATGCTCTGGAACTTCAGGAATCGCGCTTCATACCAAGGTTCCAGGGAGGAACACAGAGATTCCAGGCCTTTGCAGAGCACGGTGAGCCGGGTGTTCTCCACAGTCATGCCCTTGAGGATCTCCAGAGATGCCTGCAGGTCCTGCTCATATAAGAGGCTGTCCGCTGCCAGGACTTCTTCAACCGGGTAGTAGTGGAGGTTGCATGCCAAGTCCTCTCGAAGATTGGGATTTTGTAGGGTTCAACAGGAGTTTGAAAGACTGTCAAGGCCTTTCAGGGCCCTGAGAATGTTTCTTGGGGGTGTGCTGTTACCAACCGCATGAGTTGCAAATCAGATCCTGAACGAGATTGTAGGTTGACGTGTCGAACTGGAAGTTGTAGTTCAGCTGCTGCAAGTGGGTGTACTCTTCCAAGACCCACTTCTGCACCCCGAGCGAGCGAAGCATGGAAATGAAGGCGAAAGCCAGCTTGCCTACTTCAAGAATCGTCTGCTCGTGTGTGTTCACCAGGTCCACCGTGAGCTCCAACGTGGATAGGACACCTTACCCAGAGTCACAGAACTATTGTTGAATTGTCTAGGGGCCATCCTACCAGAAAGTCCACAACCAAAACAAAAACAATTCAGACATTAACATGCACACATGCACCCCAGAGAAGAAAGAAACGGTAAGAAGAGAAGAGAGAAGAGAGAAGAGAGAACAAAATGGCACCATTGAGTCCACGCCGGGCAGGGTCACTAAATGTCCCGAATCAACCTCACTTAGGTTCAAGGTTTTAGGATATCGTGAACCCACCACAAAGAGGTGATTTTTGAAAGATAAAAAAATTATGTCGAAATCCGCCAGACGCCATGATAGTCGAAGCATGCAATCGACAGATTCTGCGCCAGGCTCCGGGCTTTCAAGGCGGCCAGTAAGCTCCCAGGGCCCTCCTGTAAATTGTGACGGGTTTAGGGTTTAGGGTTTAGGGTCATGATTATGTGAAGATGTAGGGAAAGATACGCCTTGGGATTTAGGATTTGGAGCTTGCCAGCAGAATCTTCTCCCGAAAAAGCTGCAAGACTCCTCCTGGACCTGAAACCCGTAAACCCTAAACCCTACTCCTGGCCCACAAGGTAGCTCACATATGCCGTGGGCTTGGACTTCCAGCTGGCAACCTGCCATGGAAGTCTTACCATCATTGAACTAATAGTTTGGGAGTTGAAGGGCTACCTTCAGGTTGAAGGTAAGTATAAGGCATAAGGGATCACATAGAGGCCATATTATGTGTACATTAGGTTCTATAGAGGTTATATGAACTGTTGGGATATATAGGGCTTGTGCCCAATTATAACTGCACATATGACACAATTATATGCCCCCTAAGCCCAGTACTGAGGTTGCAAGTACGAGTAAACTTGAGTTGTAGTTACCTTGAACCTCGAGGTCGTGTATGGGGATTACTTGCCATGGCAGTTCCCGCATTGAGGGTTCAAGGGCTGAGGAGAAGAGCACAGAGAGCATACTGCTTTCGCAGCTTCAGCTTGCAAACCCTCAGCCCAGAATAAACCTAACTTTGAGAGTTTTTCGCACACCGATGTAAGAACATTTGACCTGTATTGGGAATATCACAAGGTCGCTTCAGATGATCTGGATATTATTAAAGTCACCAGTAGCTTCGATTGTCATAGGTCCCCTCACTACTCCCCCAGACTACCCCCAGTTAGAGCCAGGGGTAACCTGGGGGGTAGTATAGGGGTAGGAAGGGGAATCCATGAGATATACCCCAAACACTAGACCCTAAACCCTAAACCGCCTGCCATGGAATCTTCCAGGAGAGCTTGAGCTGATGCAGGTCCTTCAGCGGCACGATGAATACTTGCCCGCCTGAGCAAACAACAACGACATGGTGCACCATATGAGTACTTTAGGTGGACCCCCCACCCAGTAATAGTGACTATAAGGGATAATGGTGATTATATTAGGGTCCCCATATGTTCCTATTATACCACTATTGCAGGGTGGGGGGTCCTCCTAATGAGTTCTATTAACTGTAAGAGCTATGTATACATGGGCAAGATGTGTGATGTCTATGTAGAAATGCGCGATGCGCATGTATATACATATCATGCAGAGATTACATGGTGAACATGCATGTATGATACTCGTGACCTATAGCAAATAACAAAGATAATATGGAGGAGACACTGCGAATGACAGCACTAAATCATCATAGTGATGATAGCATCAAGAATAACAAGTTGAGAATGTTGAGGACGAATGCAACAACAGGTCAAAAAAAGAAAAGCGGTTGGCACACAGAAAGTCCAGAAAGACCTCGGCCGTCTTCAAAAAGCTCTGTGCCTGGTCCGAACGAAGTACTTATGTGGTTGATACTGAATTTCCTGCATGAGGCTCCATGCTAGTTTCTCAAAACAAGGGGACCCTAATAGGGACCCCAAAATACTATAATCCTCATTATGGGACCCACAAAAAGTACCCCTAGTTTTGGGAAACCCCCAAATACCTTTTGCCCTGGGTATCGACAAAATCAGGCACAGAGAGGATCAGAGTTCTGGAGCAACTTCAATCTTTGATGCAAGCAAAATACAGAAATCCTCCTGCAGGAACGCGGGCTCGCAACCGCTGACCTGATATGGATTTTTTTCAAAAAGCGGGCCCCTAAAGACCCCAAGAGGTTTACAACGAGACTTATGACTTATACTTATAGTGACATCCTGGGGATCCTTAGTAGGGACTATATAGGGATGGTTTTGAGAACCTCCACAATGTGGAAGTTTCCATACCTGGGGTCCCTAATTCCTGGAAACCCCATATGAAACATGCTGGTCGTAGTCTCATCATGCTGGGACAAGACCATGGGAAAGGACACCTAACTCTTCATCCGTCCCTCGTACAACATCCCAAGGATCCCCTACACCCAAAGATTCTGCCCCAAAAACATTGACCACGTAAATGCTTATCAGAGCACACCTCTTTCTACACTTCAAAACTTTACCTGACAAAGGACAATCAATCTCACTTTGAGGTAAAGGGTTAAAAACATCCTTGAAACAGGCACCCGTGAACCCGAAATCCTCAACCGTGAGCCCAGCGATGCAACTTGACATTTTCTCACCTGAGGCTAGCTACATGGGATCCTTGCCGCAATCCCCATAGGCGTAGTCCTTATTACCTAGGTAACCCCTAATAATGCAATGGTATTCATATTCTTGTCCATTCCTTCAATTCACTGCAAGGCAGAGGTAAGTTTTGAGAAACCCGCCACCTGATCTCCAGTCAGGGCAGTGCTGGAGACTTGCAAAGGGGCGCTTGGGACCGCTGAGAAGCATGCTCTCACCCATGCCTTGACTTTCCGGGCTTAGTGGGGAATAAGAGAATTTATCAGATAGGGCTCTCACCGATGGCTTGGTGGTACTTAAAAGGTTCATGGGTAGTTTGAACTGGCTTTAAGGTTTGGGGTTTAGGGCGTCTAAGGGTGGGTAGTTATAATCGGAGATATGACAGGGATTACTATGATGAATTCCGTTATGACTTAATGCTCTCACCTATGCATTGCGGGGTAGTCTTTTGAGGGTTATGGCTCTGTATCGGGGCATACAAGCAACTGCCGGGATTAGGGAGTAGCTGTGCGATTTTTGGGGGCTAGCGGTAGAATGCTTTGGGGTTTAGGGCTTTGAGTTGGGAGCAGTTTGGAATTGCTCATTCCAGGGGATGCCTTCATCTTGCCATACGACATAAATCCTTTGGCCCACAAATTTTTATTGCTCCGCTGAGATGGGGTCTCTTCCTCTGCTATGTAAACCAAACCAGAATAGATTCCCTTGACATGCATCACCCCGGCAACGAAATACTGCTCTTGCAGAGATGGCATCATCTCTTTGAAAGCATTTTTACTGCCAGCAAGGACCAGCTGAGTCACGTTCAAGCTGATAATACAAATGGTACTCTCCCCGAGTAAGTGTACCCCAAAATAGACCCCAAAATACTGTACGCCGGGACCTGCAAAATGGTACCCCTAATTTTGGGAACCCACCAAATATGCCTCAAGGTTAGGTCTCGGGTTGCCGCCCCAAAGCAGGGCAATCTTCGCCATAAGCACTCAAATTAGGGCTTAGGGTTCAGGGTTTAGGGGCGCTTGGAAGAAACTGACACTCTTCGTTTTGTTGGATCCAGTTTGGGTACCAACTGCAACTTGGAGGTTGGCCCCAAGAGCGTCCAAGGATGTTTGAAGATTCTATGAGTTTTTTTTTTTTTTCTCGGACCTTT